AGACCTGCACAGGACGGTTGGCAAGAGCAGCATCCATCAGCCCAGAACCATCCACTGGACGCGATCCGTCCCAGGGAAGCTACACCAACATTAGCGACACTACTGGAGAGCCCAGCAGCCTGGCTCATGCATCCGAAGATGACGAAAGCGACGGACTCGAAACGGCCAGCGAGGCTAGCAACAGCTACCAGTCCTCCGTTCACACTACCTCACAAGAGGCACATGAACCGGAAGACGATCTTCAGGGGTTCATCGACTACGCAGCGGACAAGCTGTTCGATCAGCTCACGATCGGCCACCATGGCTGCACACCTGAGGAACATACAGAAGCGCACATCTCACATGTCAACGATGTTGCTGCGCAGCGGTCCACGCACGTCCCTCCAGGCGAGGCTTTAGCAGACGAGGGATTCCCTGATGTGCTTAGCCAGCCAGACTTCCTTCAGCCCACCGACGTGGGCGCTTCCAGCATTCCAAGCAGTAGGAAGTGGTCCAGGTTATTCTCCGGCTTCAAGCCGCCTCGCACATCTACCCATCGCGCGCAGCGACCAAAACATGTGTGTCTCCATGCAGAGGAAACCATAGGAGTGAACGCAGACGTTGCGTTCGATATAGACAGCTACCTCGGCTTCGCATCATGCCTTTCTTTCGCTACACAGGGCATTGAGTACCAACCCTCTGCGCAAAATCGGCAGAACATCCAAACCGATGTCCACCTAGACGGGACTCGATATGGAGCCGACGACGAAGACGACCCAGATGCCGCTATCCGAGCGAGGAAGTCTGCACTCCGGGACATCCCTCACTACCTCCTTGGCCGTGTTACTGGCGCACCGGATGTCTCTGTATTTATTGTGTTTCCTCACCTCCAATGTTTCGGGACTGAAGAGGACCAGACAGCGGAAGAGAGTAGTACCGGCGCGAACTCCACCAACAGATTTAATGGTATAACTACTGAACAGCTAAGGCGCTGGACTGATAACATCTTCAACCCCGCTATACAAGAGGCATTCGACAGCCATTACTCTCAGCATTTTACCTCGAGCTACACTCATGCTAAAGCAAACGCCTGTGCTCGACAGACTGAGACTCGCGTCACGAGCGAGAAAGGGTATCTAACGGAACAGTCAGTCGCCTACCATTTACAGCCGTATGCCTTGGAACGCATTTGGCAAGACGTCCTTGATACAATCGCTAGTAGTGACCACCTTCACGACTTCCGAGATCCGCAACTGTTCTTTACTGCTAAAGGCACGAAGCTTCGATGGAAGACTAACGAGAAACAGAGGACCCTAGCAGCTGTTATCGAGAACTTCATCGATAACATAACCAAGGTAATCGACCTGACAGAAGTGCAGCTAGACCGATTCTACGTTGACTTGGGCAAGGAGATATGTCCTATTACGAGCGCCCTTCAGCATACTTACCTCCCGTTCGACGCTGAGCCACAAGTATATCAATGGAGGCGATGCTGTCTCGAAGCATACTTAAAGTGGCTCTACGACGGAGAGGTTC